AATAATTGAGAGTGAGATTGAAAAGCACCGATGAAACCTTGCTCTATTGTGCTTGTGCGATCTGCTGACTGCTGTGCTAAGCGTATGCATGCGATAACGGTGTGGCGGTGTGTAAAATTGAACGCAATCATTTTCTGTACCTGGCCTTTCTGATCGATGAATCGTAGCCCGATGCCGAAGCACTCGTAACGGTAGGGCGTGGCGTCGAAGCACACCGTGTAATTCCCGTTCCCAAGCTCCGACAGGGTCGTACCAAGCTGTTGATATTCAAAAATGCAGAGGGAAGTAAAAAGACAAAAAGAAAGCGTAACCGAATGCTGAGGCAGTCGAATGTGGTTTGCGCGTAACACGCAACTCCCCCCCCTCCCCACAAAAAAAACACAGCCACCTAGCGCCATCCAGTTATCCAGCAGCAGTATAAACCCACTTTAAAAATTTTTTGGGCATGAAAGGGGGTTCGACCAGTCGAGCAGCTATACGTACCTCTTTTTTCAGCAGGAACGGGATGTGCTCGGCGAGATGATTGTCTCCCGGCAAGCAGATGTTCGCGAAGTCGAAGAAGGCCTTCATCTGCGGGTCGGCAAGGGCATGAAGCGGGATGCCTGCCGACAAACATCCAGCCACCAACTTCACCTGCAGGAACTTGTCACGGTCACTCAGGGTGTCACCGTACATGCCCCCTTGGCTTTCGACATGATTCCGAAGGAACGCAGCGTGCCCTGCAATAACTACGAGTGTCCGCAAGGCAGCAGGACAAGGGCGAAAATGTGCTGTGGTCCAATGTGGTCCTGTGGTCCTTTGTATTTTATCACCAGGTACATATAAGTATGTTTTTTGCAAGGGCGTGTTTAGTACAGTACGATACTGCCAGTATTTTCAGTATTGAAGTACCTTTGGCCATAATATACTATACTGCACGTTTTAGTACAGCTTTCGATACTGGAATAAAAATACTGCACGCTTTAGTACAGCTTTCGATACTGGAATATACTGTACTGGCAGGACGGCGCTCGGTACTGTACTGTACTGCACGCTTTAGTACAGCTTTCAATACTGGAA